AACAGATGTTTTTATGTAAGATGCAAAAAAGAAGAATAATCGATCCAAAAAGTTTGCGCCGGAGTTCCCCAAGGCAGCGTTTTGAGCACGATCTTATATTCGATATATACCTCCGACATGCCTATGGGAAACCAGTACATGACATGCACCTACGCCGACGGCACGGCATTCCTGGTCTCAGCGGACTCTCTTGTAATAGCAGCTCAAGGCCTACAACAAGCGCTCAACAACCTGGACCCTTGGCTACAGAGATGAACCATTGTCATAAATGCAGAAAAATCCACGCATACCACCTTTACTCTTAGACAAGCCATATCTCAACCCGTCCTCATTAATGATGCACTCATCCCGCAAAAGTCAACTGCTAAATACTTTGGAATGACTTTTGATACAAAGATAACATGGAGGGAACACATCACAGGAAAAGTTAAGCTACTAAATAACTAAAAAAGGCAAATGTTCTGGCTGCTAAATAGAAGAAGTAAACTTAAAAAGAAAAACATGCTCCTTATAAATCCATTATTAAAAGCTGTTGATAATATATCAAAATATCAATATATCGATACTTTTTCCAAAAAATGATATATTTATATCGTGATTTTTTATTTGCCCAAATATCGGAACTCCGATTTTTTTTTTGATTTGTTTTGATATGTCTTCGGTCACTCTGAATTCCAAAGCGACCTCGACTGAAAGAATTCCGGCGCGAAATAAAAAATTGTAAAATCAAACTATACGGATATAAAAAACGATGTCCGCCATCAAATGTGTTGTGTGCGACTCAAGAAGCAGGATGACTGACGCACACATAATGCAAAGGGTGTTATTAAAATCCCTAAACCCTGCATACTGGTCATAAAATATGTATAATAAAATACTATTGTTTTTAAAAAGAAACTTATTGTCTTTTTATTGTCTTTTTCATTTAACACAAAAAATATGAAGTATATCAAATATCTCGACATTTTTATGTGATATTTTAAATATTATCATTTTTTTTTTGATAAAAAAAAATATCATCGATACGATATTTTTAAAATTTTCGACAACCCTAATATAGATAAAATGCAAGACCACGAAAATTCCTTAGCTTTCAGCTTAATAGTTATCAACGATCAACCTAGACGTTTACATAGATGCCACCGTCTGGACCTGCCATAGTTTCTAGTTTTTCACCGATACCCCACATCATCTCCCAACAAACCAACACTATTAATATAACATAATTGTTTATTCCAAAATCAAAGTTACCATCACAGTTAATTAAATGCCCTTTGGAAAGATGTAAATAAAGATAAATTGAGAAAAAAAACGAAAATCAATAACATAAAATACAGTAACGAAAAGCAAAATATGTTATGAAGACGTTCCGGATCCAGTGCCGCAACGCTTGACCAATGCCAGAATCCTGTGCCGCCTGTGATATCGCGGAATTTACGGCTGACGGCGCTGCGCCCTCCCTACCTTGAGCCAACAACTGATTAGGCAATGGCTTCAAAGCCAACGTGCCTCGGCGACTGTGGCACCAAACCGGAAACCGATCCTATTACCTACCATCCTCTTCTTTTACATTTTCCAAAAATATAAATAAATACCTACAATAATAAAAATTAACTCAGAAAAATAACGGCAGGCTAAATAAATCGGAGCAGCAAACTCAGGGATGGTAAATAATACATTAATATAGTAAATAAGAATAAATAAGAGATTACATTACGATCGCGTGGAGTTACCACTGGTCGCTGCCACACATTTCCTAGCCCACAGAATCCAAGCATTACTAACTCTGCTCAAACAAAAATAAGGAAGAGAATACAAATCAATAACTAAATATATATTACATTAATAAGATAAAATAAAACATTACCCAACAGATCACAGACCACAGATATTATCACAGACTTGTTTCAGTGTTATGCGCTATTGCACGATTTAGCCCCTATCATGCAAGTTCTTGCTTTTGTCATCATTATTGGTCCACTGCTAAATCCTTGACCGGAAGCTTTTGCACAGCTTTATTTGCTGGCCTCCCGCTCTGTTTCCCTCATTATTTCCGGTTATTAGTCCTAATCCCGAAGCCATTTGACGAATTTAGTAACGATTCGTCCAGTAGATTTAGCAGGATCGTGTACACCGACTTTGAAAATGGTGTCTAAATCTTTCTAAAATAGTAACACAAACGAGTATGCTAGCGTGCCAGTGTGACCAAAATTTCGATTAAGGCGTGCTACGGTCGTACTGTCAGTCAGCTGGGCTTGTTGACAAGCAGTTAAAATTCAAATATCGTATTTGCGGGAAAGAGCCTTTAAAAGATATTATCAACTACCTTGGCAAGACAAAACTGCCGCTGTACAAAGAAATTAAAAAACAATACAATTTAAATTTAACAGTTGTCTTTTTAATTTACGGATAATTATTTGCTAATTTTAAGTTCATAGCTGCACTTTTATTGTGTTTTTTCGTACATTCTTGACCTAAAAAACATTTTGCTCTGACAAGAGGCACCCCAGATAGTATTAATGTAATTTTGTCCTCACATCTAAACTCCTGCAATCGACTTTGGCGAGTTTTTTCCTCCATTTCTTATAATGTTCAGTGAGAAGCGCACGCCAAAAGATTAAATTTTTTATTCTTTTCGCTAGGGTTCACACAAAGTTCATTTCAGCAGACTGGCAATGCTTTGAAATTTTCTGGTATTTTTTTCGTCGATCTGAGTACCGATGTGAAAAAAAGGACCGACGAAAAGTGAACGCCAGCTGTTTGCCTCTAGCTCTCTCATGACTGGCGTACAGTTTACGTCGATCTGAGTACTAGCACTAACCATACAACATATACACTGGTCATTTCATACAACGAAAGAAGTCACAAAAGTTTCAAGCGGCAGGGCCCACAGCTGGTAGCGGCAGGCCCCGGACACTTCGTGTGCCTTCGGGTTTTTTTCGCTCTCATTCTTATTCTCATTTTGACGCTCCCGCGCTCATTACTCGAGTTCGGTCGTTCAGTCGCAGAGACGCACATTTTGAAGAAGGTTGCCCTGCGCTTGAATTGGGCTTTGTATGTATGCGTGTTCATGCATTCTCATACAGGGGTGCATGTGTGCGATCATTTCATTTCGATGCAGCAAGAATATTTTGTCTTTTGTTACTTTTCAGACTTGGTACCCTAACAATATGAGCGTATTCATTATTGGGTTAATGATAAAAATAAGAATATTATATGTTATAGTATATTTTTTAATATTTTCGCATATATTTCGTTTTGGTTTACAAATTCAAATCAGTGGTAGCAAAAAAATGTTTTGCATATATGTATGTATGTATTCCAAATAATATAAATTAATCTAATGAGATAGGAACAGGGCACATCGCAGTCGGTGTCTGCGCTTAGTGGTTGAGAAAACTTCAAACCAAATCAGCTTTGGTTGTTGTTCTGCGAGCGGATGGTGCCTGCATACCCCACCGACGATTGAATTTTAGGGCGGGCCAGCTGTGGGCCCTGCCGCTTGAAACTTTTGTGACCACTTTCGTTGTATGAAATGACCAGTCTATATGTTGTATGGTTAGTGGTACTAGGCTTTAAAAGAAATAGAATTGTATCGTGGGCCTAATGCCATCTTCCCATAGAGTCCATCCGTTAGAAACGGTTGGGATTTTTGACAAATGTATAACTCATATTCCCACAGAGCACATTCACCATCCACCATCCTAACTATCGCATAAAACTTGGTTGGGGAACTAACTGCGAATTTTCGGAACAATAAGACCTAATGGACCATTCGTTCATCGAATGGAAGATGGTGGATGGATCTCTGTAGGAAGACGGCATTAGATGTTTTGATGTTTGGCAAGATTGGCAGACAGCCAAGCTCAATTCCAATCGGATTTTATGGAACTGTTGAGGAAATCAAAGAATTATAAAAATGTCGAATAATTTGGTTAATTTAAAAATAAAATGAAATATGGAATCATAATGAAACAAAAAACAAACATATATAATAATACACAATGAACTTTATTTGTTACCATTTAGACAATAATTGGCATTAACTTTTCTTCTTTTTTTTCTGTAGGTTGGCTACTCGCCTAGCTTTGGACTTATTCGCTGTTTTTCTGATGCAGTTGAAAAAAATGGTTACGGCCTCCTCATTGTTCGGGGAAATCGAATAATAATCCCCAATAAGCAGCACCGGAACTTGTACGCCACAAATTTTCCTGTTTTTTTTTCGTGAAGGGACGGAGAAGACGACATTATCCTTGCTAGGCTAGACTTTTTAACACTAGTGGAGTCGTTGCAGTTCCTTTCTAAGCCGATGTTTACATAGGTAAATCTATGTCTCTAGTAAACTTAAAATTCTCTTCTCCATACGAAAACTCTCTTTGAAGAACTCGTTTTCCGGTATATCCATTTCCCAAATTGTCCCGTATCGCTTCTGTTCAATTAAAACGCATACTATATATGTATTTTTATTAGAATTTAAGAGCACTTACCAGAAACCACACACTTCGTTGCTTTCGTACAGCTCCAATTCGTAGTCATTCCATTTCTCAGATTTGGCAGTCAATAAAAACTGATGCAACTTCAGATTTTACTGTTGTAGAGTAGCCAAAATAGTTCGTAAATTTTTCATTTCAGATTTTTGGAATCTATTTCAACAATGATTGCTTATGTTTTATTAGCCACAGCTGTTCAGATCAGCTGTTTTTAGATGTTATGTACTGGAAGTGCTCTGTGGGAATCGGAGTTTCACATTTGTCAAAAATCCCAACTGTTTTATACGGGGGGACGGGTATAAGTTGTTTTGGATAACTAGTTCAACTAGCGAGAAAATTAAAAAATTAAAACAGCTCAATGATTAAAATTTCCAACGTTCCTCATTCAATGGTGAGACAGCGAAGCTAATTTGAGGCACCGTGTGAACAGGTTTTAAATGAGTTCTGACTAAGATGTGATAACTGTATGATTCGGTAACAGTGTAAACGCCCTTTTGTGTCGAAATATCGGTACAATAAGATGATTTATTGTAATAAAGAATGTTAGTTCTGAAGCTGGAATTCCGAATTCTGAAAGCCAAATATAAAAATATTTGTATTGGTTCATATATATTTTTTAATATTTTAACCCGTTTTCAACAATGAGCAATGTTGGTTATTTAAATATTGATCAGCCTCCCCTTAGCTTTGAAAAATGTAATTAAAACAAATTTTTATGCTGTAATCATAATATTATATTTTAATTTTCTCTTAGTACCCGAAAGTGATGGTGAGCACAGAAAACGGCTGGAGATTGAAGGATTAATTGAAAAAAGCATCGACAAAAATCTTGCCCTGGATGTGCTTGTGAAGTTATCTCTGTCGCCCTACGGATTGGTTAATGACCATTTACGAAAAATTTTGTGGCCGCAGTTAGCAGGTTGCGACGTAAACAGTCTAGAACGGGCTCCAACTCTTGATGAGTTACAATACCATCCTGAATACAATCAGGTGGTCTTGGATGTAAATCGGTCTTTAAAGCGATTTCCACCTGGCATTCCGTATGAACAACGTATTGCACTGCAAGACCAACTTACAGTTCTTATTTTACGGGTTATCCAAAAATATCCTAATTTGCGGTACTATCAAGGCTATCACGATGTGGCTGTCACATTTTTGTTGGTGGCTGGCGAAGAAATCGCTTTTGCCATAATGGAGCAGCTTTCCACATCGCATTTTTCCGAATGTATGCAAGAGACAATGGAGGCCACGCAAAGGCGCCTTATGTTTATTTGGCCTGTCATAAAGTTTGAAAATCCAGAACTTTATAACTTTTTGCAAAACTCAACGGTAGGAACTTTGTTTGCGTTGCCATGGTATTTGACTTGGTTTGGGCATAGTCTAAACTCCTACAAGTCTGTAGTACGTTTATATGACTATTTCTTAGCATCGCCGATTTATACACCCATATTTGTGACAGCTGCAATTTTACTTTATCGCTCAAATGAAATACTAAAGGAGGACTGTGATATGGCATCAGTTCATTGTCTTTTATCCACGGTATACTATTGTTTAAAACTAGTAATACAAATTTTACAAAAAACATTTTTTTTAGCTGCCAGAAGATTTACCGTTTGAAAAGCTTTTAAAAACTTCTAGCATGCTTGTTAAGAAGTATAGCTTATTAGTTATAGAAAAAGATGTTGAAGAGCTTATTTGCCAAGAGTAAGTATCGTGATCTGACTTATAATTTAATTATACATTCTTTCCAATAGAAGAAAGCAACGCCAAGCCGAGGAAAATATGATCATGAAACGTCGAAGAAAGATGTCAAGACCAGCAAATGCAAATCGAATTTTTAGCATAAATCCATGGCTTACAAATATATTAACTTCAAAGTCAGTTCTATTCACGACTGCTTTTTCTGTTGTAGTAGGTCTTTGCGCGTATTATTACAAGAATCAGTATCTGGCGGCAGGTATTAGCTGATTATTAACAGCTTGTCTTCATTTAAATATGTTTTATATATCGCGATTTGAACGAATTCTCCCCAAAATGAGTTGTATGGTAGAGGTTCCTTTCTATTAAATTACAATTTTAATAATACGAAATATTTATTACATATTTAATAAATTTTAATGTTTTTTATAAAAATGTGTACAACTTGTATATGTATTAAAGTTTTCTGATTAAAGCATCCCTGCAGTTCCAAAATCAATCATAGCTTAAATTCATCACCATTTCATCAGTAGGCGACGTTGGCAGAGCCGAATGGGCAGGCAGAGCCGTCACACTCAGTCGACAATCTCAGCAAACTCAAAAAAAAGGAGAGTGTAGATGGACAATATTTTTCTGCGCTCTGATTTTGTATTTTGCTTCGTTTAATCCTATCGGTGGGTTTTATTAAAAATTTCTTACATTTCAGTTAATTTAAATTTCGTTCGCTTTGCGAGTGAACTACTATTTAAATCTTTGTGCACAAACTATAACTAACAAAACTGTTTTAATTACGTAATTCTGTTCTGCTTAGGTACTTGTAACCCCGCCGTTTTTTTTGTGCGTTATTCGTCGTTAGTCGTATGCAAAACATTTTTCTGCCACCACTGTACTATGGGGTAAATGACCACTTTATCTGGCATTTAGGCATTTTTTAAAAATGTTCCAATTGGAATAAAATTAGTGTCAACGTATTAAGAAAACATGCCTCAAACTCAAAATGTTAATATTTAACAGTTTAATGTTAGCATAACAGCTGTAAAGTCAGCTGTTGCAACCGAAAGAGCGCTTGTCAAGTTTTCATATTTTTTGCTGTGGTCTTTGATTTTTATTTGTTCACATAAAACTCAAAAAACAAACGGACTCTTGAATATGGATTTCCCAGGTTTGGACTGTATGTTAAATATGATTAATTGTTTAAATTGTGCGTGTTTATACTACCATTTGTTAATTTTATAAATGCATCTTAAGCTGGATTTCGAGAAACAAATTTCAACTTTGGATAGGATTTTGGAAAGGAGTTTTGCAGTATTTTGAAGTACGTCCAAGTGTATGTTGTAGCGCTGTCAATTCTGAATCCATGGCAGTTAGTCTTAAAATGCACTTTCCCGCACTATTGGTGTAAATGTAATTTTTCTCAGGTAACCTCTTTTTCCAACATGGATTTGTTCGCTGTATGGAATAGGCAATACAATGCTTTTTCGAACTTTTTCCACAACAATGTGGACAATGCAATTTTAAATAAAACAAGAAAGGATATTAAGAAACAAGAAAGATATTACAAATCGACTACATTTCGATTTCTATGCCTATAATACTAAAAACAATGAAGCTAAGTCGATTTTGCGCTGCATTTTATATTGTTGTCCGATTTTAATTTAATTAAAACCATAACTCCTTAATATTTAAATATAACCAAATCTCAAAGAACAAAAAAAAATTAAAAACAACAGAGTTATAATTTTTTTGAATTATTTTTTTCCGATTGTTCCTATGGGAGCTATATAATATAGTCGCCCGATCCGGCTCGTTCCGTCTTATATACCACCTGCATCAGAAAGACAACTTGTAACGACCTGTTTCTTTAATTTCTGCTCGCTACGTAAACGTGCGGCTAGCTCAGAGAGGTTGTGAGTTCGTTTCACCAAATTTATATTGAGTGACCGCCCGTGACCAAAGGATAACGCCAGAAATGATTAGGTTGGTGCTGGTTTATTGTTTCTCTAAAATATAGCCTTATTGCTATTGATCTGCTGCCTGTTGTCGCTGTCTTCTGCTGCGTTGCTCCTGGCTCGCTGCTGCGCTGCTCCTGGCGTGCTGCTGCGTCGCTCCTGGCCAACCGCTGAGTCGCTCCTGGCCTGCTACTGCGTTGCTTCGGCTTGCTGCTCCGGGTGACTGCGATCGGGACGGCTCCAACAAAACCCTGGATGTTATGCGAGCTTCCCTACCGGGGCCGGCAAGGTGTATCGCCTAGCAGGTGAACCGAAGTTACGCCTTATCACCTAGCCACCTTTATCGCCTGGCTTCCGGAGTTCATCTTGGACTTTGTCGGCAAGGTGTATCGCCTTATCGAACAAAGTTCTCCCTTATCGCCTAGCCACCTTTATCGCCTGACACTGCGCAAGGACTCCCTAAGTTTGATTTTACCACGACCTAGCACCGTTGGATCTCAGCGTTGTAGCCTCAGTCTTGTAGACTTGTCGTCGTTCGGCGTCTCGACTTTGCGATCTTGATTCTTGTGCACTTCGGTTTCGATTTGTACTTATTCCGCGTTCACACACTCGCTCTGATTCTCGCACTCGTACTGTCTCGAGCTGCGCTTGCGCCGTCCTTTTATAGGCGCTGTAGGTGCCGTTATTTCCCTCGGGTCCAAGGTCCACTGAGGTACCGTTAATTCACGGTGTGTCCTCTTTAGGCGGGTCCGTAGTCCGCCAATTTACCGTATGACACCGTTGCCCTTGCCGGGTGCGGGTCCAAGGTCCATCGAGGTTCCGTTAGTTCACGGTGTGTCCTCTTGGGGCGGGTCCGAAGTCCGCCAATTTACCGTATGACCTCGTTGCCCTTGCCATATAAGGGTCCAAGGTCCGAATGTTACCGTTTGACCTGGCTGCCCTTCATTTCTCCGGCTTTCTCGCCTCCTCCGCTGTTGCTGGGCCGATCTCCTGCATCGCGATTTGTGGGTAGTTTAAGACTCCCCACATTTCCCCCTTCCTTCGGAAACGTAATGAAAGTGGTGACTTTCCCCGCCCTTGATGTGTAGACTACTCGAATTCCCCGCCTGAATTGCATGTTTGATGTTCCCCAGACAGTTCCCCGAAAGACTTAACCTTTCCCCAGACTGTTTTCCTAAAAGACTTTAATCGTACAGCTCCTTGAAAGACTTGAACTTTCCCGCGACTGTTTCCCTAAAAGACTTTTCCATGCAGCTCCTTGAAAGATTATTTCCATTTCCCCAGACTGTTTCCCTGTTCCCCAGACAATTCCCCGTTCCCCAGACAGTTCCCAGTTCCCCAGACAGTTCCCAGTTCCCCAGACAGTTCCCAGTTCCCAGACAGTTCCCAGTTCCCAGACAGTTCCCAGTTCCCCTGCGTGGAATTCGAATTTTCCCGCCCAGACATTTCCCCAAACTAAAAGTCACCATTCCGTTTTCCCTCGGTCCGCGGCGGCCTTTGGACTTTCCCTTGCTACGGGCTCCGACAGGTCCTCTCTTTGGTGTGCGTTACCCGGTAACGGTATTCGCATCCTATGACCCTCCCTCTCCCGCTCTCGCGCTCCTAATGCATCTGTGTGAGTTCGATACTGTGTATCGTCCTCTCCCTCTCTTTGGATTCACAGTGCGCCCCCGCTAAGTCCGACTTTGATCCTCGGTTTTGGCCACCAATGAATTGTTGTTTTAATTGGCTCACGTGGGCGGTTTTTTCTTTGCCAGTCTTTTCATGCCGCAAATTGCATATCACCGGCGAATTAAAATTCATTATCTTAAAAGGCCCGTCATATTTTGGTGCCAATTTTGCGGCGAATCCTTCTACAGCCTTGGACAGATGATGTTCCTTAGCCCAGACTGTGTCACCGATGTTCGGTTTCCATGGGCGCCTACGGAGATTGTAGTGGCGTGCCTGATCCTGCGCTGTCTTTCCCATATTTCGCCTCACCAGCTCAAAGATTTCTTTCAGCTTCTGTGCGTTCTCGGCCGGAGTTTGAGTGTGCCTTCCTGTGCCGATTGTACCTTCGTCGTACAGTGCGCTGGGTAACCTAGGCTCTCTTCCTTGCGTAATAAAGGCGGGCGAATATCCCGTGGATTCAGCCACGCTCGTATTCACGGCCAACTGCAGTTCCGGCCACTTTTCGTCCCAAGTCCTCTGGTCTGCCCCGGTGAACTGGGCGATCATCGTTTTCACCGTCCTGTTGGCTCTCTCCGTCGGGTTTTCCTGGGGCGTGTATGGGGCCGTAAACTGGTGTCGGACGCCTAATTCACCCAGGAATTTTTTGAATGCCCTGCTGGTGAACTGAACGCCATTGTCTGTAATCAGCACCTTGGGTATGCCGTACCTTGCGAGGATCCGCTCGCGGATCGCCTTTTCCAGAGTTTCCGTCGTTGCACTGCGCATTGACACCATTTCGGTCCACTTGGAGAACCTATCTACCAGCACTAGTAGCATAGAATTCCCGTGTTTGGAGCGGGGCAGTGGTCCGACGAAATCTGCGCACACCGTGGCCCACGGCTCTTCCGGTACTTGGGTCAGCATTTTCCCGGCCGCCTGTAGTTGGCTTGGCTTATATCGTAGGCAGCTCTCGCAGTTTTGCACATATATCCTTATGTCGCGGTGCATTCCCGGCCAATGGTATCTTGCTGCGACTCTGGCAATTGTCTTCCGACTGCCCATGTGGCCAGCTGTCGGTGAGTTGTGGTTCTCCGACATTACCCGCCGCCTGGACCCAGTTGGCACGCACAGCTTCCATGAAGTGACATCCTCGTTGCCTGCTCTGTGCGGTATGTGGCGGTATAGCTGGTCGGCTTCTGACATGTAGTCTGGATATTTTTGGGGAGTTTGGGAAATCTTGCTCCGCATATCCCTTATCCAGTTACACTCGCCGGTTTCCTTGTGCTCTTCCTGTGTTTTTACCCGTCGACACGTTTCTGGCAGTGGCTGTCGTGATAGTGCGTCTGCTACTATATTCAGCTGGCCCTCTCAAAGTCATATTGCTGCAGTTCCAGCGCCCATCGTGCGATTCTTCCGGTTGGGCTCTCGATGCTAATCAACCACTTCCGTGCCCTATGATCCGTGATTACTTTGAAGTGGTAGCCCTCCAAGTATGGCCTTAACTTGCGTATGGCCCACACAATTGCCAGGCATTCCTTCTCAGTCGCTGAGAAATTTCTTTCCGAACCATTCAGGGACCTACTGGAATACGAGATCACCCTCTCGCCTTGGTCGTAATTCTGTGTGAGAATAGCACCGAGCCCGTAATCGCTGGCGTCGGTCTGCAGCACAAACGTCTTTGTGAAATCTGGGCATGCTAAGATTGGGTCTGCGATTAGCCTGGCCTTGGCAGCTTCAAACGCCTGTTGATGGTCCTCTGTCCATTCCCATTTTGTGCTTTTCCGGAGCAGTCTATTCAACGGATGCACCAACGTTGCAAAATCTGGCACAAAACGCCTGTACCACGACGCCACTCCCAAATATTGTCGTAACTCCTTAACGTTGGCCGGGGGTTTTATTA